CTTATGGGTCCTGGCAATCAAACTCTGGTTGTACCCACTTAGCCAGCCCACAGGCTGGTGGATACTTTGAATTCTTTAAAGTCCTTGTTTATTTTTGAAGGGTGGGTAAGCTTGCTGTGAATCAAAAAGTCTGCATCACAGAGCACAGCACTGGTCCAGCAAGGTGGCTCAACTGGTAAAGGCAGTGGCTGCCAAGCCTGATGGCCTGAGTTCTTCACACTAGATACAAGGTAGAAGTAGAAAATTGAAAAGAAGTTATCCTCTGACATCCACATGCATGCCATAGTATACATGTGCCCATAATCATACATGTGCACACACACCAACACAAGTAAAACATTAAAATAGAAAGTCTGATACTTTAATACTAAGTAGTAGTACCAGAAAAGAAATGGCGAGTGAAGCCTTGTGTTTACCATCCATTGCCCTGCTCTTCTTTCCCTGTGTGATGTATCAGGCCTACAAGGAACTGGACTCAGCAGTTTTCTTAGTAAATGCACAATCTTCACCAGCCAACTTCAAATCTCAGCTATGTGAACCTCATACCCTTAATGTATCTTGTGAGTGTAGCTTCCCAGAAGAGGTCTGTCTGCCGACCTCTCCTCTCCATCTCTTGTTATTTTCTTTACTGATTTCTCTGCTTCCTGTACCCCATGCCTTTCTTTGTTGATTTCCTGCTTCTTTTTGATGGAGCACACCCTTAGTAGCTTTTTCAGAAAGGATGTGCAAAGACAAATTGCTAGCAACGTGTTTGCACATGTCTTCGTCTACTGAGACACTCCCTGGATTTAGAATGTTCATTGGAAAGTTGTTTCTGCAAATTTCCAAAAGATGACTCCATCATCTTCTACTTTCATTTCTGTTACTAACAAACTCAGATCATTTGTAGTCTTGATCTTCCTTCTCCCTCTTTCTAGAAGCTTAGGGAATAGCCTTGTAGGGCTCAGTGTATTAAGTGGTGAGGATTTTGTTTTGGTCAGCAGTCCACCCGTTTTCACTGGACTCTGAGCTTTGTTCATCTCTCGCATTGCCTTCATTTCTGAGACTTTCCTGCTGGTCCCCCTGTTATAGCTGTCTCTGTGGTTCCTTTCTGGAATATTCTGTTTTGTCAGTGCTGGGCCTCCTGTTCTAGTCTTCACTTCTCTACCCACTCTGTTTACCACCTTTGTCTCTCTATCACACTATCTTTGTTTATTGCCTCCATTCCTACCCCAAACTGGTCCTTCTCTGTATATCCTTCAAGAAGCTATGCAAAGAGTAGTCCTCATTCTTTCATTGCACAGCTTAGCATGCCACTTGCTACCTTTGCATTTGCTAGCACTGTTATAAACCCCACGGCCTAACTTCACGCCTCCTGAAATAGTTGGCTTTGTTTATTTCCACCGATGTCAGCACAGTTCCTCCTCGTACATCTCTTTTGTTGCAATAGCTCAAAAAATACATTTGGGATTTTCATGCATTCATATATTTTAATAGCTGCAGCCTCTGTGCCATTGCCACCAAGCCCTCTGCTTACTATTTATATCAACTTTGGGGAGTCATCCTTTCTCTTTTAGGAAGCCCTGTCCAATTTGCATTAGGCTTTCTTGCCGATGCTATCGTTCCCTTAACTCCATTTATTTAGATTTGTTTCCCAAATAGCTGGTGCTGTCCTTTGAAAAAAGGTGTCCGCCCTGGCCTCTACTGCTAAACCCCATCCTGTCCTTCGCAATTTTTCTACATTGCCTCTTTATTTTAGAATCCAGCTGACTCTTCTCCCCTGACAGTCCTTTCTGGCTCTGTGTATGTCACTTACACTTCATAATGTTAATGAATCAAAGCATATGCCACAACCCTTTGAAATAATATTGAGGGAGAAACAAATGGATAAAGCCTCAGTTAATTCCAATTCTAAACTACTCTTTACCTACTTTTGGTCTGTGTAAAGCTTCCTTCTATTTCCAAATAAATTTATTTCTGTTCCCAGCAGTTCTCTGTAATGCGTTTACATTTACATATCTAATTTTTATTCTAGGTAACCCAAACTTCTTTTTAATTAAGACTTTACCTAATCTCTTTTTTAATTGAGATCACCTGTTTCATATTATTTATAAAATTAGGAAACTGATGTTGGAATCAAGAAAGCACTTGCTAATCAATGCTGAACATGGTAGAAATTGAAATCACCCTCATTTTCTCAACGGACTTTCTAGGCAGCTAGAAAGCAACCCCTGTGGGCTCCAGGACTGGTGTTGCAGAACTCTTTGATTAAACACTGTGAGCAGCAAGATGACTGCTTCTTTTGGAAATACCTCCAGAGTCTGGGTCCACGCTTCTTGGTGTCTGTTCACCTTATTCTTATCCATTAATATAATAGCATTTGTCTTGCAGTTCACCATACTGTATTTGTGTGCAGTTCCTTTGAAAGAACCTGGGCATTTCAGGTAGCGGCTTACATACTTACTGTACACTGTCATTTCTTGCCTGAATGGAAGTTTCCTTGAGGCAAAAATGAAAATTACAAAGTGAGGATAGCGTTGGAGGGAGGGCTCAGCAGTTGTTGAGAATGTGCACCAGAGTTCCCTTCCTAGCATCCATTATGATTGACTTACAGCCACTTGTACCCCTAGTGCCAGGGGATTTGACACCCTCTTCTGGCCTCCAATGGCACCCACATAAATGTGCTCAAACATGCAGAGAGGACACAGACACATGAACAAAAATAAAATAAATTTTGTTTTGTAAGTGAGTCACAACTTTGCCTCAGTGTATTCAGTCTCTTGTGAAAGGCCCTGTGGCTCTTTCTAGGCTGCTCCAGCTGGAGTACTTCCTCTGATCATCGTCCCATTCGTCCCATTTGCAGTCTCCTCTCTCTCCTGCATTACACTCCCCTCCACATCTTAGCAGAAGACTGCAAGCTGAAGGTTGGGATGACGGAAAGAGTGACACTTATGTGGCAGTTTAACATAGCCAGACATGCGTGCCTCAGGAATGATGTTTGTCAACTACCTGAGCCACAGTGGTCTCCATTGGTCATGTGCTCATTTCTCAGACTTTAGTTGGTGGCCAGGACAGTTTGACTTTGAAACACAAATTGATATTCAATAAACTTCTATCAAAAAATTAGTAATTTTCTATGTCAGAAAAAAGAAGTCACTGTAAACTTGTGGATTTTGATAAGCACCTTGGAGAAGAAAGCCTCTGTGCTTCAATATTTGTCATCGTCTTAGGCCTGTCTGTCAGCTACCCAGTGTATCAGTCACTTGGTCTTCAGTGTCTTTTGTGAGCATACTGTCTGTGTACATGTGTGCACAGACATACATATGGCACATACATGCAACAATAAATAACTGTATAGAAAAGGAATTTTTAATCTTTGTTTCCCTGTATGAAATACATACATAATCACATCCTTTTCAGTTAGAGATGTTGTGTTTAAGACATTTTTGTCTGTCACTCTCTCTGCCTCTGTCTCTCAACCGTCATGCCTCAGTCATTGTCCCCAGTGAAGAGGACCATTGGTGCAGATAATCCAAATCCCAGGTTAATCCTCTCTGTTGGGTTAGGTCATGGGCCTACATGGGTCTCCTTGCACCTGAGGTTTAGTTATGGCTTCCCCCAGGAACAGAGGGCTGTAGGGGACACTGAGAGATAAGGCCCAAAACAGGAGGGTAATCTGCAAGGCGAATCATCCCTCAGGGATTGTTGGGAGCTCCTTGTTCAGGAAACAAAACAAGGGGCATCAGGTCTTCTCTCCCTGAATCTGAGAGGCTTACTCCCTTGCCCTGAGTTCAGGAACTTGGTGTTGTTCAGTTGGCCATGGACAGCTGAATTTTAGACACCCACATACAAACTATCATAAGCCGATATTAGAGGAAAGGCATGTTCTAGTCATTCACAACCTCAGCAGGAGGAGAGAGCAGGATGAAGTCTTCAGTGTTCCTGGTCAGGAGCTGCCTCTATGCTGAGTTCCACCACAAGGGAGGCTTTGGGCTGCTGGCAAGTCATGTGCAGTGGTTTCCTATTCCTCTAATTGTTTAGCATCTGATTATTTGAAATTGTGCATAAGTGCATCATAGCCAAGAGGTACCACGCAGCAAAGATATTCCCTAAAAATTCTATCAGTCAATGTAGTAATTTGGAGCTGCCGTTTCATCTCAGATTGTCAAGAATCTCTGTGAGTTTCTATAGTGCTGGAAGGAACCCTAAGCTTGGAAACAAAAATAATAATAACAGTTGCCTTTCCCCCAAATGCATTTGTCAGAATATCAGGATCTGAAATGTGCCTGAAATAAGCTCTTACTTGGTATGAGTCGCTTTTCAGCTCATATTTAATCACCATTCTCCACTTTGAAACATTTCCTCTTTCTGGCTTGAGAGCAGTTCTTGAAATGAAGATCTGCCAATGCCTGATGAGAGGCAGTATGGGAAATACATTCCCATGCATGCTGTCTTGTGCTTTTCTTTGCAAGAGAAAGCACTTATTTTTTTCCCCACATTTTAAGTTCATATGTCTTAAACATCTAAATGAGGAGAAAATTAGCATATTTGTCTACTAGCTCCCTGAGGACAGTGTAGTATAGATAATATTGACTCTTTACTATGGAAATGCTGTGAATTCAATTCTACCCTGAGCACTTTACAGACAGCAGCTCATAGAATCTTCTCTTTCTAAGAAGGTGTTATAATCAGATAAGGAAACTAGGGTGCATAGCAGTGGGGCACTTACTCTAGTGCTACCTGATCCCCAGGCCTAGAAAGTCCCCCTGCTCCCATGTGGTGGTTGTAAAGGCCGTTAGTGCCAGAGGACATGCCCACAGGGCTGGAGGAGTGGCCACACCTACCAGAGTGTGCCTCCAGGACCCTGCTTTCTCCCAGTGCTGCAGAAGCTGGTTGGATGTGTCTGGAGCCACTTGCTGATCATTCACCTAAAGCCAAAGGGAAGACCAACAGGGGATTCTGGGAGTCTCTCATGGCATCTCTCCTCCCAAACCTTGATCCCCCTGTTTTTTGTCCTTTAGCCACTGTGTGAAGTAAAGACTGGAGCCCATCAGAACTTGACAGTATGTCCTATAAGGTGCCAGGCTTCCTTCTCTCTGGCTGGCAGTTGGTGGGTAAGCACCCTCCTCTTCCTCTCCATGAGCAGAAAATACAAGAAGATGGTTTCCCTTGTGCTCCAAGGAAAGGCTTCCACCAGCTTCTCTGTGCACGTGGGTCCTGATCTTTCTAACTCATCTTGTTCACTTGGGAGGTTTCACCAAAGCTTGCCCCTCTGTCAAGTAGGGTCATCATGACCACTGAAGCTGTTTAATACCCCGAGCAGGACTGACAACCTGTAAAAATTGAATATCACATGGACTTTAAACACACATCCCTTATAAAATTTTTAAAGCTTGCTGAGTTTTATTAGAATGTGTGAACCAGACTGAGTATATTAAATTTATGAATCCAATTGATGCAGTACCATAATAATTCAATACAATATGCTTATGTCATTAAACTCATAAAGCAGATTCTCTGAATAGCTATAATGAATAGTTCTGATTCTGTAATCACAGACTAACATTTTCACCCTGATGAATTTTAACTGGGAGCTCTCAGACTTCTGTGTAACATCAAGAAATAAATGCCACGTTTCAAGTGGTGACTACTTATTTCAAGTATTTACTTCAAAACCTAGAGTAGTAAAGGTGGCTGGTAGAACAGAGGTACTTGCAAGGATAGAGTTACTAGGACTGCTTAAAGGATTGGAAGTCACTGCCATGAAGTGGAATAGGACAGTAAGTTATATCTAATCATGAATTATAGATAGAAACCTTCAGTCTACCTTGATTAATTTCATTCGTTTCCCCTTTCCTTACCCTATCCCTGATCCCAAGTCTATCTGGAGTCTGGATAGGACAAGCCTGGATGTTTCAACTGCCCCAGGCCAGGAGAGGTCAGGCCACTCATATGTCTGCCATTGAATCCTGGCTTCTTAGGAACTGAGCTCAGACAAAGCCCTGGAATGTGTGAGCAGCTGTGTGCAAGCATTCCCTCCAGTGTATATAATAGTTCAAGTCACAGGCTTGACCTAAATTCAAAGGGAGTCAGGAAGCTGCAAAAAGCATGGCTTATTGGGTCAGTGGTATAGCAAACTATAAGATATTCCATTTCCCAGTCAATTTCCAGTCTGGCTAACTTTGTCTCTTCTAGAAATTTGAAAACTTACAGTGAAGAAAATGGATTCCACAACGGGTGGTCATAACAAGGTGGTCATAACAACAGGTGGTCATAATAAGCTCTTGAAACAAAGGCATGGTTGCCATTTCCTAGAACAGGCACTAGAGAGCCATTTGTAGTTAAGGTTACAGGTAGGGTGTAGCCCAATCATTGAGAAACAGACTTATCATAAACGGGAATGAATATACTCTGTCTTTAATATAAGATGGCTTTCAAGTCTAAAATGGAAGCAGGTTGGTTTATCATTACCTGCCCTGTGCAGGGTACAGAATATGCCCACCATCTCTGTGTGATCGATCCAGAAAAGTGGCAGTGTGGAGCAGGAGGGTGATCTCTTGTAATATAAGGACCTACACCATAACATTAATCCTAACTCTTGACCTGCAAAGTCCAGCCTAGATGGAGACTTGCATAGGCTAGGGGAAGTTTAAGTGTCAGGACTAGACATGCTATAGGGAACCCAAGGGTCTCTACTGGAGATACCAGTAAAAGTATTTAGCCACTCCGGATACCTTATGGGAAAGAAAGGAAAAGCTGGGAGTTAGCAGGTATTTGGAGAGCTATACCCTATAAACACCCCCAGGCCTCTTCAGAGTTACTAAAATGACACTTGTGCTTGGCAAGTAGCCAAGACATGCTGAAGGCCTGGCAGGGAACCTGGGTTGAAGAAGAGACTGCAGCTCATAGTATAGGACCCCAGCACAAAGACTAGTGGAGTTCCTACCCAGGGAGCAGCTCCATGTTCAGAGTGTGCCCTCATGTGCAATGAGCCATGTCTTCTGCACAGACCAGTCAAACTGGGCTATTGACTGTGCCCAGAACTCTACCTCCTGTCTCTAGACTTCATTGGTGTTCTTACCCTGTCTAGAACTAACCAGTTCCCTCCTGTCTTGTCCTCCATATTCTCCAGCTGTTAAATTCTTACCTTTCAGGGTTAACATTCATTAACCACCTCCTAGGTCTAGGTGGATGCCTTTTTGTAGGTGCTCCAAAAATTCCCTTCCTGTTCCTTTTTGGCCATATTTTTTTTTAACAGTTTCATTATCATTCCCTGATAGGACTGAAAGTGACTCAGGACAAATACTGACTCCTGTCCAGTGCTGAGTTCCTAGCTAGCCCAGCTCAAGCAGGTAGAAAACTGTCCTGAACAAAGTCAGGCCAAAGGAGCCAACAAAGAGGAAATGTAAACTTACCCTAAACAATGAAAAAGATAGGTAGAATTTGGATGACAGGGCAAAGCACCCAAGAGAGGTGTGATTCTGAGCACTGAAAGACTGTGTTGTTTGTCTGTCCTACTCAACACATGGTGCCAGAGCCTGGCACAGTACTTCATGGAAAGCAGGTGTGCAGTAACTGCTATTGCTACACATTCTTGCCTGTGTCACCTGAACCAAATTTTCCTCACTTCATTAGAATGTACAGGTCATTTAGGTCAAGCTAGGAGGTGCATCTAGCATGTTTGATGATCCAATACAGACAAGTAATAGAGTTTCTAAAATGCCAGGAAGAAATGGTGAGAGTAATATTTGTGAGAGTTTGGAACTGGAAAAACTAAGACAGGTGAATCTCATAGAGCCTACTGGATTGATGTATAACACAGCAAGAACCAGACGTTTCTTAGATCTGGAGATATCCCAGGGTATCTCCATCTGCACCTGGAATGTCTTCTGAGCTCATCAGTCAATGATAAATTTTCGAAGTTTCTCTGCCAGGTAAACAGATCCTGTAGGTCTTATTAGACAGATGCTTGTCTTATATTCCCACCTAATGACTTCTGGGGATAAGAAATGCCCTTGAACTCACTTCACTGCAAAATGTCACAGTGGAAGGGCAGATGAGGCCCTATTACATTTCTAAAGAACATTTCATTTCAATCTTAATGATTTCAATAACTTTAAATTACAGATTTATGTTAAATTTTTATAAAAGGAAGAAAGTTCCACAACAATGAGATGGTTGAGAAAATCATTAGAATGACACAGCTCAGTGATGTATTGCACATGAACTAAGAAGCAGGCCACAGCTACAGTTGTGACTCTTATTAAAACAGAAACTTCTCAATAACATGAAATGCTCATGACTTCATCCCTTGCTAATTAAAACACAGGGGAAGGAGCCAGTGAACGCATAAGATGGCTGAGACCTCTGAACACTTCTGAAGGCCCTAATTATCCCTACCTGCATTTGTACGCGCGCGCGCGCGCGCGCGCGCACACACACACACACACACACACACACACACACACACAGATTGAAAGTGAAAGGTTATTCCAGGGACCTTACTCTAACATGGTGTTTAAAGTCCTGAAGACAGGCCTTGTTTCGTCTCTGGCTTCAGGACATCACCCTTGAGGGTCATAAGAGAATATTCTGATTTTCTCCCAGATTGGAAGACCCTGTCATTCTGTCCTCCTTTGTGACTGTTGACCTTGGCGGCTAACTCAAGGCCTCTTGATGTCAGTGTCCTGATCCAGAAACTAGGATGTCTTAGACGCCCTATTGCTCAGTAACTGGGAAATGCTTTCACCAAGCTCTGTTGACTTAAATCTAGATTCTGGGTTTTCCACACAGCCCTACTACATATGCCAGCCTAACTCCCTCACTCACAGTTTACTGTATTTAGATGTCATTCCTCCTTCCCTATTCTGGAACTTCCCTTCCTTCAAGGTCCCAGGCTGGAAAAGGACCATCTCTAAAATAAGAAGGGCCTTCATGTGGAAATGCCCTATTGACTCTAGAAGGTTTTGCTCAGGTAGACATCTGAGGCCTGAGCTGTATCTGAGGCCACCCTCACAAGTCATTTGAAGGGCTGGAGTCCAGTGGTAAACCCAGCAGGGACTGCCTGAAGGCTAGATTTTACACATTCTTCCATCAGGTAAAGCCTGTGATCAGCTGAAAGGGCTTGATAGGTCATCATGAATCCTGTCAATATTCTGACCTTCCTCAAACAGGTCTGTGCATGTAGCAACACATTATTTCAGAGCCATGGCTTACAAACCATAGTCAATATATTACATCCTGGGGACAAATGAAAATTTAATAGGCTGCATGTTTTCTTACTACTGTAATGCTGTAGAGTGTGCTTTCATCTTTCGGAATTATTACCCTAGCCAATACACCATACTAGCCCTGCTGGTACAGAAGACTGGTAATGTTTAGTTGTGTTTTGAAGTGGCGGGAGAATTTTGAAGATAGGCCTAGATGTAGATCAAGATTTAGGGAGTCCTCCTCCCAGCACGATGCTTCTCTGGGGATGTGCCACTATCTGCTCTGCTTCATCTGCACTGTTGTTCTCAAAAGTCTTCCAGATTCACAGTCTTCTTAGAAGAAGAGTTTCATGGGCGGATGCCTTGATCGGACAGCTAGCCAGCCATAAGGAACTCAGTCATGATCCACATGAAACACGTCTCTTGATTTCATGTATCTACCACCTATCTGTGTCTAAGGGACAGATACCAAAGACTCTGTCCTTGAATTTCACTCACTTTTGAACATTCTCCATGCATGTTAGCAGTAGCTATGCAATCTGGGAATGCCTTGCCAAGTCCCCAAAGAACCTTTGGTTCTAGCACATTCTAAGTGCTGACTCCAGTAGCTTTTTGACTGTGATGTGTCAGTTCCAGAATATCCATAGGAAAAATTCTCCAGCCTTCTTTCCTTAGTAAGCCAGATGAGCTATCTTCAAAGAATGAGTATCTCTTCAGAGTGGAGACCTGGGTGTTCTCTAAAAAGGGAAACAGAAGCAGGGCAGTTAGGAAAATAACCAGAGTCACTGAGTTTCACCTCTACAGAAAAGCATGAGAGATAAGAGTCCACGGTGCAGCAGTCCCCACTGGAGTACTGTTGAGCCCAGGAAAGGCAGCTTATGAGGCTCAAACAGCTAAGACACCCC